CTACGGCGACTACTAGTACTAGTACTAGTACTAGTACTAGTACTACTACTAAATTTGCTAATGCTGTTAGTTCTTGTGCTATTCCTAAAGCTACTTCTGTTTGCTACTACTACCACCCACAACGACTTCGCATACCACTTAATCCGTTTGTTTGCTACTACTACAACTACTGCTACTACAACGACTACAGCGGATACTACTACTACTACTACTACTACTACTACTACTACTACTACTACTACTACTACTACTTCTACTGCTACTACTACTACTATTTCTACTATCACAACTGCTACTACAACTGCTACTACTACTACTACTACCACTACTACTACACTACTGCTAGTAGTAGTAGTAGTAGTAGTAGTAGTAGTAGTAGTAGTAGTAGTAGTAGTAGTAGTACTACTACTACTACGAGTAGTACAAGTACTACTACAACGACCACATTTCCTACTATTGCTACTACAACAGCAAGAACTGCTACTACTACTACTATTACTACAACTGCTACTACTACTAGTATTACCACTACCACTACTTCTAGTACTACCACTAGAAATGCTATTGCTACTACTACTGCTGCTGCTGCTACTACTACAACTAATACAACTACAAGTACAACTACAACAAGTACTACTGAATCATACTACCACTATTCCTGCGCGCTTCTAAAAACGTTTCGTTACATATTAAAACTGATCCAGAAAACTCCTTCTCCAGGCAACTTGGACCACCTTCGCGCGAAATCCAGGTCGAACACTTAAGGGTGAAATTTGGGAAATCGGCCTTCGACGGGATCCTCACGATCCGTGATGACAACCCACCTGGAGACAGAACTCTTCGGAAGAACGCTCAGAATTTTACAAGACTCCGTACTTACGGACGCCCGGAGAGCGAAACCCTCTCCCGGAGAACGAACCTCTTTTCCCAGAGAACAGACTCTTCGCAGGGGGGGCGACGAGCTCAACGGCGCGTCTCATGAGCTTCCGCCGGGCCTCCGCACCAACTCTTCGACGCCTGCGGGGTGCCCAAGATGCCCTTCAAAACGGCTCTAGAGGGGCTCCTGCACGGTCAAGAGGCCCCAAGACGGCCCATCAGAGTGGCCAGGCAGCCTCCGAAGGGTACCCCCCGGAGGCCAACATCATTTTGAAAACTTGGGTTCGAACTGATTCTGCCGTCTCGCCTTTTCCCTCCCGACGGGATTCCGATGCCTCAAGATGGCTCCGAGATCTGCCACACGAGCCCCAAGAGGTGCCCAGAAGCGCTCCAAGTCGTCCCCGAAGCCACCCCAGAGGGCCCCTAGAGCGCACCGAGAGGCGAAACTTCAGACTCCAAACAGGGGACCTTAATTTGGAGCCCCCCTTTTTCGATCGATAGCTCCAGGATGGCTCCAAGAGGGTCCTCTGGGCACCGAGACGGGCCCCCCAAGAGACGTTCAAGAGGCTCTTAGAGGCCTCAGAATTGAGCATTGCTGGTCTTTCTGTTTCAGTTTATGTTTATCTGCCCCCCGTCTTCCGATGGGGATGTGGAGAGCGAGCGTCCAGAACTGCAACCCCTCTCGGGGGTCGGCGGGCTGGCGCAAGCCCCTCGAATCACAAATCGCTGACACGGCGTGGTCGGGATCGTGGCCTGACGCCCAGCGGGTGCCATCCGCGTGACCCGCCCCCGCACACGGCCGCAACGCCACCGGCAGACACACTTGTTCGATCCGCGGGTCGAGAGCGCACCTCTTCCGGTCGAAGCTAGGCGGGCCGCGCACAGCTTCAATTAACAAAGGGGGGGGCAGAAGGAGGGGCCTCACGTCGAGGCCAGGAGGGGGCACGACCGGCAGACACACGCCCAGGCACTGGCCGTGCGCGCTGCGTGCGCCCCACTCCTCCTGCTCCTCCCCACGCCTCCGCCGCGCCCCGACTTCGTCGGCGCGCACGGCTCCCCGGGGCTCTTGTGGGCCCGTCCTTCGGACGCCCCCTGCGCGCTGCTGCTCTTCGCCGACGCGGGCCTTTTCCCCGGCATCCGACGCTGTGGACACTTTTTTGGTCTGCGGGTCGAGAGCGGGCCTCTTCCGTTTAAGAGCTAGGCGGGGCGCGCAAAGCACTAATTGAGGAAACAGGGCGCGGGCGGGCGGGGCCAAACGCTGTGGACACACGCAGGCACGCTAGCGCTCCGAAGGCCCACCTCTCCGCAAGGCCCTCCTCTCGATGCGGGTCGCTCCGCGGGGACTCGGCAGGCCCAGCGAGGCAGGGCGAGCAAGCGCCCGCCGCCGAATCCGTCCGCGCGTGCCTCCTCGGATCACTTTGGCTGCATCCTGGCGGCCGCCTGGCGGCGAGCAGCGCGGGACCACAGCCGATCTCGCTGGTGCGTCGCTGTCGTGCCGCCCCGGGCGCGCGCGCGGGCGCTTGGCCTGCGTAGCGTGCATTGCGCACGAGTGCCTGCTGGACGCACGGCGTCGTTTTTTTTTTTTTTGTTGTTTTGTTTTCTGGCTGTGGAGCATGATTGTGGTTGCGCTGCCCAAGGTTCGTTGGGTGTCCCAAAGCGGTGCGATGACAAGCTGTGCCGGGACCTCAGTATCCTCAAAGACCTTACCGCAGGGCCCGTCGCCGCACCGCTCTGGGATCCTGGATGCCCCCGTTGCGAGACATCCTCCAACAACGCCCCGAGTCCCAAAATCGTGCGGTCACCCTGAATTCCCACTGACTCACCACACGGTGTGGTCAACGCGCCGTTTGGGTGCCCCTACAGTCGGCGGCGATTGAAGGGGGAAATAAGAAGGAGAAGGCCTTCTCAGAAGGCAGCTGGACTTCTGAGACGCCCTCGCGCCATCTGAGAGCATTTTTGGGTCTTCGGGGAAGGCTTATAATATTTCTTAGAAAGCCAGGGGGCTTGCGAAACTTCTGAGAAGGCCTCCTCCTTCCCACTTCCTACCCCTCGCTCGCCGCCGGTCAACTCTGGGGCCAGCGTGATCTTGAGCACGCCGAGCGACTGGGCTCCCGACTTCGTCTTTGTGTGTGACTTTTCGACGGCTGCGCCCGCGGGGTGGGGCGCACCGGCAGGTAGCCGAGGACGATCTCGAGGGCCACGCGCTGGGAGCGGCGCCAGAATTCCTGCAGGAGCGGAGGGAGGGGGGGAAGGAAGAGGGCAAAGAGAATCTAGGTCTGAGGAAGAGGGTAGAGAATCCAGGTTTGAGGTTTGAGAATCTAGGTTTGAGGGGGGAAGAAAAAATGGGGGGGGGGGGGGGAGGAGGAGGAGGGTAGAGAAGCTAGGTCTTGGATGCTGCTGGCTCGCTCGAGGCAGTGCCAAGGGGGGTCACCACCAGGGGGATCGCCATCTCCTCCTCCTCCTCCTCCTCCTCCTCCTCCTCCTCCTCCTCCTCCTCCAGGCAATGCGCCCCTCAGGACCCCCCCGGGGCTCCCCCAACGGCGCCAAGAACCTCCTGGGTTCTCGTTCCTCCTTCTTCCTCGACCCCCGACTTCCAGGAGGCGGTGGTGACCTCCCCAGTCGTGACCTCCCTTGACACTCGCCCGGTCGCTGCGGGCCTGCGAAAGCATAAGGGCTGCCGGCTCTCGAATGCGCTGTGCCTCAGCCGATCTCTGAGCGGATCCCCGGCGAACGTCCTCGTGGGAGAAGGGGCGACCGCTCCTGGCGAGACCAGTGTGTGCATAGAGGCCGCCGTCAGCTCATGTTCCACGGCTCTCGAGAACATGCCTTGGTCGGACAGCTGCCGCCAGCCGAATAAAACAAAAACACATCCTCGGCCTCACACGCCAGCAGCACGCGAGCAGAAAGAACCTCCAAGCAGGCAGCAGCAGGACGGTTTTCCTATTCCCAACCCTCCGTGTCTCTGGGTCCTCGTGTGGAATCAAGCGCTTGCTGCCGCCTCCCTCCAATTTCCTGCCTCTCCGCGTCTCGTGTTTCTCTAGTCGATTCCTCTTCTGTCCTCTGCAAGGTCGGGCGGAGTGACGACACACGCAGCTCCAGCCACCCCCCAAGCGCCAACAACCGTCCGGGGTGCTCAACTTTCCTACGCCGTGTGGGGGCCCGTGGGTTGTGGTGACGCATGCTTATCGACTGAGACCTCGCCCTCCCCAGATAGCGTCGGGCATGCAACTTTCTCCGCTTTCCTCCTCCTCCTTCTCCTCCTCCTCCTGCTCCTCCTTCTCCTCCTCCTCCTCCTCCTCCTCCTCCTCCTTCCCCAGTAACTCTCCTGGTGCTGCGCTCCGCGTCCTGCTGCCGCCCACCTTTTCTACATGCTCGACGTGTATTCCTCCTCCTCCTCCTCCTCCTCCTCCTGCTCCCCTCTTCCTCTGCGCCCGTGGGGGGTCCAGCGGAGTGGCGACGCAGGCAGATCCACTGAAACCTCGCCCTCTCTGGTTGCTGCTCGGCGCGCGCCGGTCGCTGCCTTCCCACGCCCCTGCAGAGTCCGGCGGAGCGACGACACACGCAGATCTACCCAATCTCCAAGCGTCGCTGGCCGTGTGGGGTGAGCTGCGTATGTCTCTGGGTATGTCAACCTGGGGTAGAGTACATGTTTTTTCGCCCGACTGGCGTCCCAAATCGAGAATATCTCGTGGATCGGAATCTCTTGTCACTCTGGTGCTTCTGACGAGGGCAGTCGTGCCCCTTTCGAAAACGAAAACAAGCCTAAGAAGGGCAGAAGCCTAAGCAATGTTTGGATGGAACGACACGGATGCTGCACAACTTCCTCCAAAGCGGTTGCACAACCCAAGCATGTCGGCAAAGTGGCAACGACGTCCTGGGAAGACACCGGGCTGGAACATAATGAAGCACACATCTCAACATAGGGATCTCTGACTTGAGTCCTTAAGAGTCTGGCACCTGGAAGGCCTGGCCTCAAACACAACAGTGATGGTGACGACGAGTATGAGGATTGTGGTAATGAGGGTAATGGCCCGTAGGGGACAGCACTTCGTATATCGATTACGATGTCGAGTGCAATGACGACGAAGATACTCCAGCACAGAGGGACGCTGCACCTTTGATTTCGATGGGGACTAACACACGAGGACAACCAGTCATCTAATCAAATAATCACCGCGGCCAAGGTCTAGACAGGCGCGAAAAATTAAGTTGTGCAATCACTACACCCAATATCCTGTCTTAGAATCAGCACGTGAGACGTTTGTAGTTAGGTCCGTGAAAGAAACAGAGTTCCCTGAACAAATCGCACATGGTTTTCTGATAAACGGCATCAGCAGTCTTCGGACCGACTGCGTAAATTCCACTCGCAAAATTATCCTGTCCATGAGCGTGCCAGACATGTCGTTGAAACGTGCTGGTTCCCACCGATGCCCCTGGTAGAACATTTGCCATAGCGCTGCGGCGCAATGTGCACGACGCCATCAATCACTGACGCACTGGGCACATACGTTGTCTGGCTTACAGTGCCGCCAAGCAGCATAATAACCAATCTTCTTTTGACCACGCGACCGATCACCTTATTGACCATGCCAGACACGGGCCAATTAGGCGACCACGTCGAGGGGAATCGCGCTATCAAGCCATGCCACGCCGCTCCTCCTATGTACGAACATGCCGTAAGCCATTGCAGTAATAGTTTTCGGCAATCGCGCGACCCACAGGTACTATGTAATTGTGCTTGTGGGCGTGACCGTCCAATAGAAAGTACCGAATATTGGGGTGGAGAGCGTGGAAACTGGGCGACCATGAACCTTCGTTTCCCCCCTTGCTCATATCTGCTGGCTCGTCTTCCCTTTGTGATTGGTCGGTCCACGCGGCCCGCGTCGAGGTCCCACACCCAGCGCACAAATATGGGCTGCTCCTGACGGGCGGGAAAGAACAATCACCCCAACAATTCTCCTGGTGCTGCGCTCCGCGTCCTGCTGCCGCCCAGCTTTTCTACATGCTCGACGTGTACTCCTTCTCCTCCTCCTTCTCCTCCTGCTCCTCCCCCTCCTCCATCCCTGACCCCCCCCCTTGTGGGGACGACGGGGGAGTGGAGAGCGCAACAGTTGTGCAACCACTCGAGGTCTTCCCGCCTCATCTGTTCGAGCGGCCTCTTGCATCGCGGCGCCACTCGTGTCGCCTCGGGCCCTCCTTCCCCTCCGACGCCGCATCCTGTGAACGCGGTGGGCCCCCGGGGATCTCGGCCCCTTCCCTGGGGCATCTTTCCGCTCCGACTTGGTCTCTGACCGGGGATCTGCGGACCCGGGTCAGTCCAGACCCAGGTCCGTCGGGCCTTGCAAGGTCCTGCAGGAGCCTGCGCCCCAAGCGCGGGCCAGTGCAACCCAGGCCCTGCAGGATCCCGCAACATCCGGCGCTCTGGCGGACCCCCCTCTGCATGGACCCCCGTCGCTTGCGCCCCGAGGTGCCAGCCCTGGGGCCAAGAACCGGCCTCCAGAGGCCAGAGGACCGGATCTGCGGGTCGGGTTTTCCTCCGGGGCCCGCTTCCTCCATGCTCGCCTCTCCCTCCTCCTCCTCCTCCCTCTCCCCCTCCCCCTCCCCCTCCTCCTCCTCCTCCTCCTCCTCCTCCTCCTCCTCCTCCTCCTCCTCCTCCTCTCCTCGCTTCTCCCTTTCCCTTGGTAAATGCCTTGTCCTTCGCGCGCCTGGATCTGAGGGGGCCACGGCGACGCGGCGCCGCGGCCACACGCCACCGGGGCGGGCGCAGAGGCAGGGGCTCCACGCCGCCACGAGAGCTGCGAGCGGCGGCGCAGCGTCGCGGCCAACCGCCAAGGGGCGAGGGAGACGGCGCAGGAGGAGGAGGAGGAGGAAGGAGGAGAGGGAGGAGGAGGAGGAGGAGGAGGAGGAGGAGGAGGAGGAGGAGGAGGAGGAGGAGGAGGAGGAGGAGGAGGAGGAGGAGGAGGAGGAGGGAGGAGGAGGAGGAGGAGGAGGAGGAGGAGGAGGAGGAGGAGGAGGAGGAGGAGGAGGAGGAGGAGGAGGAGGAGGAGGAGGAGGAGGAGGAGGAGGAGGAGGAGGAGGAGGAGGAGGAGGAGGAGGAGGGGAGGAGGAGGAGGGGAGGAGGAGGAGGAGGAGGAGGAGGAGGAAGAACCCTGGCCGCCGCGGGAGACGGCGCATGGGATCGCTGCCGCCGCAGGCCTCGACCCAAAGGCCGCGAGTCGCGAAGGCCAAGGGACAAGCAGAGCGGCATCTGCGGAGCAGCGAGAGCCGCGCGCTCGTGCGCCGCCGTGCCGATGCCACGGCGGAGAGCTCTGGCCCGGAGCCTTCCTCCTCGTCGCTAACCTTCCTCGCTCCGTCGCTCCCTCCCTCCTCCCTGCCCGCTCCACGCCGCAGGGTGCCAGTTCCGCCCTCGCGTGCTGTCGGCGGGGAGAACGAAATGACAGGCGTTCGTCAGGCTGCCAGAGGCTATGGTGGGGCGGCGGCAGCGCCGACCGTCTTGACCTTTTATCCTCGATGCCTCGATCCGCCCCCTCCTCCTCCTGGCCCCTCTCGTAGTGAGGGTGGCCGTATGCGGGCCCGCGCCCAATTCTCTCCCCCACCCCCCGCGCGGCTCGTGCCCCCTATGGAGCTCCACCTATGGCCCGACTCGTGGAATTGGCATGCGGGCCCACACCCATTTCGGCACATGCTTTATGCAGATTGTGACCCTATAAGGAGCTTCGTCTTTACAGCGTCGTCGCACCCAAGTCGGCACATACCGGTATCATGAGCATCCCTATAAGCGAAGCCCTTCAGGGAGCGCGCCCGCTGGGGGAATCGAACAGGGCAGGACTATTCGGTAACCGCCCAGGACTGGGTAGTACCCGCCAGTCATGGGGGTCGGGGTGCTTTTCCTCCCTTGGCTCTCCCTCTGCTCGTCATCTCCCTCGGCGCGGCTGTATGGTAACAGCTCCTCGGTAGAGATGATGTTGAACTTTACCTTGGCGTGGCCCGCTGCCTCGGCGTAGAGGTCAACCTGGCGCTCTGCTGCCCCTTGCTCGGTCGTCGGACTCTACGTTTCCTGGTGCTTGGCGAGTATTCCCCATCTATGTCGACTAACGGAGCTTCGGACCATCTATGACTGTGAGGAGATCCACGTCCCTAAGGCAAACCGTGATTTACGTTCGGGCAGCCTTAGAAGTTTGACTTGTGCTTCGCTGCCGAGCAACTTCCCTCCTCATCCCCCCTGCTATAAGCTTGCTTGGCAAAACTTGTTTGTATGAAACAGCCCTTAAAAAAAGCGGCACGCGAAGAGAAAAAACAAGGGCAGAACTGTGAGTCAACACACGTGTCTTGAAGTGCACCTGCTGGGAAGGTAATTCCTTTTCCCCCCGAAGTCTAAGATACTCATGACTCTATCGTTCTACGAATCACGGGCTACGCCAAGCCGCAACCTACACCAATACGCGAGTACTTTGAGTACTCGTCCGTGCGAAATCGATAGAATCAACGAACTTACCTTGCTGCATCAACGAAATCGTGTGCATGTGTATGCACTGCTATGTCTGCGGTTCTATAGCCTTGTTTGCATACGTGTCGTCAACTTATCCACAAGCCATGCGAACGTACCGACTCTGTGTGCACAATCGCGGGTGAGCGTACGCGTCACGTAGCGCGAACTATGTGCGCATGCGAACCACATCGCTCAAACGGCGTCCCCGTGTGCGCTAGACTGAGGGTTAACTCGATTCGCGTATGCAGGCACGCAAGAGAAAGAGAGAGAGAGAGAGAGAGAGAGAGTGAGCTTGCGTTGTTCGCGCTCGAGTGTGTTGAGCGAGCGACAGAATAAACATGTGTGATTAGGGACAAGCGTTGCAAGCGCGAAAGCCACAGCGATGCGAACGGCTGTTTGCTCCATTCCCAGGGCGGACGGAAGAGAGCACGAGATCTTCTCGAACAAGAAATCAATTCCGGGGGGATTTGCAATGAAGACACTGCAATCTCAAGTGGGAATTCGAATCTGACGGTGGACCCGTGGATCATATTTTCTATTTTCGCGCGGTGTCCTGAGCGAAAGCCCTAGTCTAGCGAGGATTGCGAACGACTCTTTGCAAGCACCGAGGTGCGTTGTCACCGGCGAGCGTACTCGCGTGAGGTGCTTTCTCAAGAATTGCTTCTTCAACGCTGCAAGGGAAGACATGTCCAGCAGCACTGACACCAGCATGGTGAGCCCGAGCTGCCCCGCTCTGGCCGCGCCGAACCACTCCGTCCGAGGCCCAGAGAATCCAGGCACCACTGCTGTTGGGCACGCTGGGCACTGGATTGGCGAGTCTGCTTTCACCCCTCTTGGAGTCCCCTACGTAGTCCACACCGCTGCTGCTGTCTGGTGACCCCTGCCGCCCCCGGTCCTCGGGCGTCACGAACGCCGAATAGAACTCCAGCGTGCGGTTGCGAAGCACCAGGCCGGCCCGCGCGTCGTCCTGCCGTCAATTGGAGTCTCGCAGGAGGGCTGGTGCACCGCCTGTCATCACCAACATGGTATGTCCTCGTATCCCCACTCTCATGAGAAATCAACATGTGCTCATCTTCGCATTCACGACGAACGCCCTGCTACTGATTACGGTAGCAACCTCTTGGCGATGCTTGTGGTCACCGCAGTTTGTAGTGGTCACGACGCCGTCGACCTGCGTTGGTGAACGCACACCGTGTTCTAGCCGGCCGTCCCTTGTTTGGGCCCCACTGGGCTAGGCAGTAGGAAAGACGGGCGGCCTCCACTGCGGAAGGCGAGCCAGTGCCATAAATCCGACGCCCAACCATGCGCATTGGATTTCTTGTCATGCCGTCGTGAAGGGCATCTCATCCCCCCTCGTGCTGGCGGCGCGCCACGGGGGTGGGTCGCTGAGGGTGGCCTCCCAAGACAGCAGGAGGGCCTCCTGGAAGCCCCCCGCCTTCTCAGAAGGCCCCTCCCTCGCGCTACGAGCGTCTACGCGCCGCCGCATCTGGGAGGCAGAACTTCTGGTCTCGGGCGGTCTCAGGGCCTCCAGAACTTCCGCGCCCAGCTCCTCGGCTCAGGTGTGCAGGCCGCTCGAGGCCCGAGCCGGCCACGCGCAAGAGGTGACCCTGGCTCAGAGGCAACCTTTGGTGCGCGGACCGCCGATCGCTGCGTGCGATGCGGCAGCAACGGCCTGCGTGCTTGGGTCTGGTTCCCCCGCGCCCCGCGCGAAAACCACGCACCCAAGGCCACGCTGGCGAGGGGCCGCTCTCACGTGCCGCTGGGCGAGCCTGGGCGGCGTGCCCCCCGAGGAGCCCCCCCTCCCAGGCGGTCTCGGCGAAGAGGGCGGGGGGCGCGGGTGCCCCAGCCGCGCGAGTTATGGCCATGCTCGTCGCTCGTGGAGGGGGAAGGAGGTGGAGGAGGAGGAGGAGGAGGAGGAGGAGGAGGAGGAGGAGGAGGAGGAGGAGGAGGAGGAGGAGGAGGAGGAGGAGGAGGGGGGGGAATGAGGAGGAGGACGAGGGAGGAGGAGGAGGAGGAGGAGGAGGAGTGAGGAGGAGGAGGAGGAGGAGGAGGAGGAGGAGGAGGAGGAGGAGGAGGAGGAGGAGGGGATGAGGGAGGAGGAGGAGGAGGAGGAGAGGAGGAGGAGGAGGAGGAGGAGGAGGAGGAGGAGGAGGAGGAGGAGGAGGAGGAGGAGGGAGGAGGAGGAGGGGAGGAGGAGGGGAGGAGGAGGAGGAGGAGGAGGAGGAGGAGGAGGAGGAGGAGGAGGAGGGAGGAGGGGGGGGAGGAGGAGGAGGAGGAGGAGGAGGAAGGAGGAGGGAGGAGGAGGAGGAGGAGGAGGAGGAGGAGGAGGAGGAGGAGGAGGAGGAGGAGGAGGGGAGGAGGAGGAGGAGGAGGAGGAGGAGGAGGAGGAGGAGGAGGAGGGGGGAAGGAGGTGGAGGAGGAGGAGGAGGAGGAGGAGGAGGAGGAGGAGGAGAGGTGGAGGAGGAGGAGGGGAAGGAGGACGAGGAGGACGAGGAGGAGGGGGAGGAGGAGGAGGAGGAAGAGGAGGAGGAGGAAGAGGAGGAGAAGCACGATAATGCCCAGGGGACACGAGACAGACAGCGCAATCGCACGAGCTGGAGGCGCAGGGGACACGAGGCGGGAGACGCCGCCCCCACCGAGCCTCCGCTGGCGAGGCCAGGGGCCGCGGATGCCTCTTCGCCACCACAGCTGGCCTCAGAGTGCCCTCTCCTCCTCCTCGTCCTCCTCCTCCTTCTCCTCCTCCTCCTCCTCTCCTCCTCCTCCTCCTCTCCTCTCCTCCCTCTCTCCTCCTCTCCTCCTCTCCTCCTCCTCCTCCTCCTCCTCCTCCTCCTCCTCCTCCTCCTCCTCCTCCTCCTCCTCCTCCTCCTCCTCCTCCTCCTCCTCCTCCTCCTCCTCCTCCCCCTCTCCTTCGAGCTTGTCGCCGAGGGCGAGATGTCGACTCTTCGACCCCTCGACGGAGAAACCCAAATCTCAGACGGTCTCTTTTTCAGTCCGGGCGCTGTTCCTGGACGTCGGCCTCTGGGGGGCCGCTGTCAGGCCCTGAGGCCATCAAGCACGGCTCCGGGACGAACGGCTGGCCTTGGGGAAGGGGTCAGGACCTGAGGCCGCGCATCAGAACCGCCGACCCCATTGGATCTGCGGCGTGTGACTCCGACGCCCCTCCCCAAACTCCTCCCCGGGAGCTCGGTCCGGCCGGTCTGGAGGCCGGGGAGGAGGAGGAGGAGGAGGAGGAGGAGGAGGAGGAGGAGGAGGAGGAGGAGGAGGAGGAGGAGGAGGAGGAGAGGAGGAGGAGGAGGAGGCGGAGGAGGAGGAGAGGAGGAGGAGGAGGAGGAGGAGGAGGAGGAGGAGGAGGAGGAGGAGGAGGAGGAGGAGGCGGAGGAGGAGGAGGAGGAGGAGGAGGAGGAGGAGGAGGAGGAGGAGGAGGAGGAGGAGGAGGAGGACGAGGAAGAGGAGGAGGAGGCGGAGCACTAGGCTCCCCGAACCCCTCCCCGGGAGCTCGGTCCAGTCGGTTTGGAGGGCGGGGCGGAGCAAAAAGTGCTGGTGGTGCCGCTGGCCCCAGCCGCCCCTAGACCTGCTCCTCGGCAGGCCCCGACGGCTTCGAAGGAGCTTCTAGAGCCTCCAAGTTGCCTCGCAGTGTTCTCCGCGGGGCCCCAGATGGCCCCAAGACGTCCTAGTATGGTCTCGGAGCAGCTCTGGTAACCCTGAGAATGTCTTGAGAAAGCTTCAGGACGACCCCCCGACAAGCAAACATCGTCCCATCCCCTTGGGGCAATTGCATTTTTTTTTCATTTCTTTCTTTCGTCCAAGACTGCCTCAGAGGCCGTCAAGATCGACCAAAGACGGGCCAAGAGGCCCCCAAGACGGCTCCAGACTGCCCCAGGACGGCCCAAGAGGCGCCCAAGATAGCCCAAGACGACCCCAGGAGGCGTCCAATACAGCCCAGAATGGCCCCGAGACTACCCAAGAGGCGCTTGAGACAGCCCAGGAGGACCCTGAGAGGCCCCCAAGAGGCCCAAACGACCCCAAGGACGCTCCCAAATGGCCCCGAGCGTTTTCAAACTGCCTCCAAGAGAGGGGGCTGGACAAGAGGCGAGAGGCCCCTCGCAAACGTAAAAGAGCAGTTCTTCACGCTTTCGGGGCACTGGATGCCTGTCTTCTGGACGGCGTTGTCGTCGGATCAAAGATTGACGATCGATGGGAGAACCAGAGAGCACGATCAACACCACAGTCAGTGGGCAAGCAGAAGAGACAGACAAGTTAATCGGAGGAGTTGGAGGGCGGAGGAGAAGGAGCGCGGAAGCAGAGATGTGAGAGGACTGGAGGGAGGAAGAGAAGAACGAGGAGGAAGAGGACCATAATAACAGCACGTTGATCGACGACTGGAGCTCAAGTACGCTCTCGGCATCCACGGGCCCTGAGGGGTCGGCGGTCTGGCCTTGAGCCAGTGAGTCCGCGTCCGGAAGGAACGTGCTGAGCGGCAGCGTTTGTTTCCTGGCGAACGCCCTACGTGCACCGTGGCCACCGTCTCCAACCTTGCGTACTTTCTGCACTTGGTGCTCTTTGATGTTAACTTGTCTCTCTCCCTGGCCCCCTCCCTGGAGTCGCGCCACGTCGGCGGACCAACGTGGCCCCCTCTTTTTTTCTCCAGAAAGACGCGATGCCCAAGTCATCTCGTCACGCAGCAGCTGGCACCGTGAATCCCGTCGCCGTGCCGCCAGACACGTGGCCCCCCCCCGCTGAGGACCTCGGCCTCTGGGGCCTCCTGGGGAGTCCAGGAGGGCCTCCGGACGGCGCCAGGCAGCCTTCCGAAAGCCCACGGCGGCCCCAAGACGGCCCAATGGGGGCTCCAGGAGGGCCCAACGCGTTCTCGCCTTTTTCGATTCTCGGGGGCCCATGGCGGCCCCGAAGGCCCCTAAAAGAGGGCCCCAAAACGGCCCAAGAGCGCCCCAAGAAGGCCCACAGAGGCCCAAAGAAGGCACAAAAGGCTCCCACGACGGCCCAAGAGTATCTCAAGAGAGCCACAAGGCGGCCCCGAGAGGCCCCCCAGACGGCCTCCGAAGGGGCCAGACGGCGCAAGAGCACCTTAAGACGGCCCAATAGGCCCCCAAGAGACCCCAAGAGGCCCCAACGGGCCCCCCAAGAAACTTCCAGGGGCCCCTGAAGAATCCTCCCAAATGCCCCAAAGAAGCCTCCAAGCGGCCCAGAAAGAAACTACCATTAGGCCCGCGGACTTGTGTACGAATGGCGCGTTGTTGCTACGCTCAGCGGGATTTGAACTTGGCGTTGCCTTGTGCTGGCAGGCGGAGAATGCTCATTACCCTCGTGGACATTCGCACGCCTGTCCCGGCGCTGACGCCGGGCGGGGGCGGGGGGTGGAGGCGCATCGGCCCCTCCGTGGCACTGCCACCGCCCAGGGGCGGGCAGAGCGACATGGCAGAACTTCTCGGTAGACGAGCAGGGCGAACCATCCAACGCCCAATCTTCACGTGCTCCAGGCGTGCACCCCGCGAAGCGAAAGGAATCCACGCCCCGAGGTGACCTGCGGAACAGCAGCGCTTTCTGGCGAACGCCTGACCGCAACGTGTCCACTGTATCCAACATTGCGTACTTGATGCATGTTGTATATTCTCAAACTATTATGTCTCCCTATAACCCCCATGGAGTCGGGCCGCATCGGCGGACCAAGATGGCAAAAGCCCTTTTGGGGTCCAAAAGCGAACCAAAAAGCTTGGAACATTGATGACCTCGGCCTCTGGGGCCTCCTAGGGGTCCACGAGGGCTTCAAGACGGCTCAATGCGCCCTGGCGCGGGCAGAACGACACGGCTGAACTTCTCGGCAGACGAGCAGGGCAAACCACCCAACGCCAAATCTTAACGCGCTCCAGACGTGCATCCCGCGAAACGAGAGGAATCATGTCTGAGACTTCATCTTTGGAGCGTCAGGGTCCCCACTCCAATGTGCCAAGC